AGTTTTCTAGGTAATCAGAAGCTGTCCGAAGATGCATGCCACCTTCTGGTAAGGTTGCAAGAAAATTCAAACTCCAACAAACATCAGGACATCATAAATCCCAGTTCTTGAAGGATTACCTTGTATGTGAGCTTTAAAAATTGGCACGGAGTATAGATATGACAGAAAATGTGCATGAGACAGTTGCCTCGGTTACTAGAAGCTCATCTCAAACGTGCCCCTTGAGTCCAGTACAGTCAACAAGACCCTGGCGAATAGTGATTGAATTCATACCAGATTCTGTGACAACTCCCAACCTTTTCAGTTATATTCATTTGATACCTGTGAATTCAATATTATTGAAAAAGCCAGTTGTTCTTGTGAGGTCTAATTACTTTAGACTTAAGTGGAAATGTAAATTCATGTACTGTTATATAAATGAAATAAAACTATTAAAAAACTTTATTCCGTTCACTTTGTCAAATTTGAATATATTTTTTTCTTCAAAATACATGTACACTGCAAATTATGATGACTTGGATGGCACGATACATGCAGGCGCGGATCCAGGATTTCTTGGGGGGGGGGGCCAAATCTGAAATTATGCGAGCTAAATATTGGTACGTAATGGTGACCGTGCAGCAGTGGCGTAATGAGCAATAACGTTTGGGGAGGGGGGGGGGGGCAGACAAACAAAATCAGCATCACCCACTCTTACATGCAGGCCCCGCTTAACTTTTTTAAAAGTGGTAGGGCGAGCTTAAAGTATTTACGATCAACTAGAGCGTAGCCTAAATTGCATAGGGTCTAGGGGCAGAGCCCCCAGAAGCTCAGGGGATATGGGCATTTAATTACGGCCAGATGAGCATATTTTGATAACTTAATCATGCCACTGGCAGGTCACTAATTGGCATGTGGTCAAGGGGGCAGAGATTTGAGGCATTTTATAACGGTCAGATAAGCATTTAGGGGCCCGTCTTAGGCCCCCTGTTGGGGTCGAGGCGCAGAGATGCCAACCCTCCCGATTTCATCTGGAGGCTCCCGATAATTCACCCCAACTCCCGACCTTACGATTACCATCCTTATCCTCCCGATTTAAAAAAAAACAAAAAAAAAAAACTTTTTTTTTTTTTTTTTTTTTTTTTTTTTCCTTCTTCTTTTTTTTCTTCTTTTCTGGCGCTTATCAGTACCGGTATATATATCTGTGAATTGAATGAGAAATATCGTCTGCTAACTTACGCTAACTTACGCATGTAGTAATTCCACTATGTTAAAAGACAAATTAAGAGTAGCAACCAAGAAAACTGGTCTCAGAAGTATAAGACCGAATACAGTTTCAAGTACCCGTGTATTCGGAAGTCTGATAGGAATTCATCATGCATTTTGTACAATTTGTATGTTATTTTTTTTTAAAAGTTGGAATTATTTAACTAAATACACATGTAAAATGCTCCAAAATAAGACTCTGACTGCACCAGAGAGCATCTAGAACCCCAGAGCTTCCAGGGCCCTAAGGCGGGCCCTGGACCCCGGCCGCATGGGTCAGGCGCTACGCGCTCGAGATGTGCGCTATGCGCACATTATTTGGTGTCGGTTACAAATCCTCCCTATTTCTGTTTTCCAAAAGTTGGCATCTCTGGAGGCGTATGAGGCCCGGAAGCTCAGGGGTTTTCGGCATTTAATTACGGTCAGATGAGCATATTTTGATAACTTATTATTTTTGTGAGACTGGCAGGACAGTCATGGGCATAGGGTCCAGGGGGCGGAGCCCTCAGAAGCTCAGTGGTTTTAGGCATAAAATTACCCTCAGATGAGCCACTAGGATCCAGCCTTGGGGCCCTAGGTGAGGTCCAGGGGGCAGAAGTTCAGGGGATTTAGGCATTTAATTAAGGTCAGTTGAGCATATTTTGATACCTTATTTGTGACAGTGGTAGGTCACTAACTGGCATGAGGTCCAGGGGGAAAACCCCTACGGAAGCTCAGGGGTTTTAGGTGTTTAATTACGGTCAGATGAACATTTTTTTTTATACCTTATTTTTGACACTGGCAAGACACTAATCAGATGAGCATCCAGAGGCCCGCCTTAGGGCCCTAGGTTGGAATCAAGGGCGGAAGCTCAGTTTTTTTTATTTTTTTTACTTTCCCTCTTTCTTTCTATTTCTCTTTAATACATTGTGTTTCTATTGCATTTCATATGTGATGACTTGGTACATTGAATGTGGGGACATGGCATATTGAATGTGTTAATTGTATTGCATTTGGTAGCTGATAACGTAAGACATTGGATGTGGGGATGTGAGATCTTGAATGTGTATTGTATTTGATAGCTGGTGACTTGGTACATGTGATGTGGGGACATTGCATAGTGACTGTGTTTCTATTACATTTGATAGCTGATGACTTGGTACATGTGATGTGGGGACATCACACATTGATTGTGTTTTTATTGCATTTGATAGCTGATGACTTGGTTCATTGGATGTGGGGACATGGCATATTGAATGTGTTTGTATTGCATTTGATAGCTGATAACTTGACACATTTGGATGTGGGGACATGACATCTTGAATGTGTATTGCATTTGATAGCTGATGACTTGGTACATTGGATGTGGGGACATGACACCTTGAATGTGTATTGTATTTTATATAGCTAATGACTTGGTACATTGGATGTGGGGACATCACACATTGATTGTGTTTTTATTGCATTTGATAGCTGATGACTTGGTTCATTGGATGTGGGAACATGGCATATTGAATGTCTTTGTATTGCATTCGATAGCTGATGACTTGACACATTTGGATGTGGGGACATGACATCTTGAATGTGTATTGCATTTGATAGCTGATGACTTGGTACATTGGATGTGGGGACATGACACCTTGAATGTGTATTGTATTTGATATAGCTGATGACTTGGTACATTGGATGTGGGGACATGGCACATTGATTGTGTTTGTATTGCAATTCATATGTGATGACTTAATACATGTGATGTGGGGACATTGTGTCTTGGTACTTGGATGTGGGGATATGGCATATTGAATGTGTTTGTATTTAGTTTGATATCTGATGACTCGGTAGATTGGATGTGGAGACATGGCTCATTGATTTTGTTTATCCTGCATTCGATAGGTAGTGACTTGGTGGATTGAATGTGTGGACACTAGTGGCGGATCCAAGATTTGCCGATAGAGAGGGGGTGGGGGGGGGGGCCTAAAATTTGAACAACGTGCCGACCAACTGAAAATTGCGAATAGAATGTAGGATCATGTCTGTTGATATGTGTGTATCCCTATCTCCCCACATCTAATGTGATTGATGCGTCAATTTTTTTAAATCTATTTTATTCTCCCATTAATTATTTTTTTAATGACACTCTTGATATAGCCTTTACATTTATTTCGATAAAAATATGAGTTTAAAATTAATGCTAGTTGGTGATATCCCACTTCCCTGTAAAAAAAATCCATATCCCCACTTTGGACGTTTTGTCTGTGTGTGTGTGTGTGTGTGTTAGTGTTCGTGTAGAGAGGGCGGGGGGGGGGGGTATGAATTCGGATGGATCCTAATGAAGGGGGCAATTTCGTACATACTTAAGGTATGCCAATAGGGAATTTAAAAAGGGGCAAGGGGTGGTTGTTCTCCCCCAAATCCACCACTGGACATGACCGGTGTGTGTAAGTGGAGGAGAAACATGCGTGTTAATGGTGTAAACACTGATTATGCCTGGGACTTAATGGCCCGAATTCACATTTGTGAATTCGGCCCTGTATACGTAGGTCCACGTAAAAGAAGACTTTTAATTAGGATTTTGAGGCACTTTATCACTTGGCTGCCGGCCTATTTTAAGACTATTTTAAGACGATCCAAATCCACCACTGGACATGACCGGTGTGTGTAAGTGGAGGAGAAACATGCGTGTTAATGGTGTAAACACTGATTATGCCTGGGACTTAATGGCCCGAATTCACATTTGTGAATTCGGCCCTGTATACGTAGGTCCACGTAAAAGAAGACTTTTAATTAGGATTTTGAGGCACTTTATCACTTGGCTGCCGGCCTATTTTAAGACTATTTTAAGACGATCCAAATCCACCACTGGACATGACCGGTGTGTGTAAGTGGAGGAGAAACATGCGTGTTAATGGTGTAAACACTGATTATGCCTGGGACTTAATGGCCCGAATTCACATTTGTGAATTCGGCCCTGTATACGTAGGTCCACGTAAAAGAAGACTTTTAATTTATAGGATTTTGAGGCACTTTATCACTTGGCTGCCGGCCTATTTTAAGACTATTTTAAGACGATCCAAATCCACCACTGGACATGACCGGTGTGTGTAAGTGGAGGAGAAACATGCGTGTTAATGGTGTAAACACTGATTATGCCTGGGACTTAATGGCCCGAATTCACATTTGTGAATTCGGCCCTGTATACGTAGGTCCACGTAAAAGAAGACTTTTAATTTATAGGATTTTGAGGCACTTTATCACTTGGCTGCCGGCCTATTTTAAGACTATTTTAAGACGATCCAAATCCACCACTGGACATGACCGGTGTGTGTAAGTGGAGGAGAAACATGCGTGTTAATGGTGTAAACACTGATTATGCCTGGGACTTAATGGCCCGAATTCACATTTGTGAATTCGGCCCTGTATACGTAGGTCCACGTAAAAGAAGACTTTTAATTAGGATTTTGAGGCACTTTATCACTTGGCTGCCGGCCTATTTTAAGACTGAGAAGAAAAAAAAAAGTGGATAAAAAGAGCATTCATATCTTGTCTATTTCTGTCAAGCTCTCTCTCCTTAATTATTTTTCAGCCCCCCCCCCCCCACGGCCCCCGCCCCCCCCCCCCCATTAATACCTTCATTTCATTCAGGTACAAGTGTTCAAAAGAGATTCTCAGCATCGCCACTGTGCTTTTGGTTAACAATTGCCGTTTTCTACCGACCTAAAGATAGTCCACGCCGATAACGCTAGGGTAAACCTCTTTACTCCAGGCGGTGATCATCTCACATTATGCTCAATGTCTACAACCAGGTTAGAGAATGATATGCTTCCTCTATTCTTATAATGTTAAGAACAACCATATGAATATGAAAAGGTGGTTCAAAGGTTAAAGGCCAAAGGTCACTGTACATTGAAATCACAGATTAGTCCATGAAATGGAGTGAATAGAATTTTGGGGGTGATTGTAAACAAAATCTGAAAATGTGTGTGGTGAGAGTATTTTCCAAAGGAATGATGCAGACCATATTCATTTTTTTTATTTATAATGAATGAAAGAAATTACAACAAAATCTGGATTTATGTTTACCCCATTTTTTGTATTTACCGTGTGTTGCAGTACTTTGGTTAACATAATTTTTAATGAATCATTTAATTAAACACAGAATTTGAGCCTTGTATGCATCATCGTAAAGAGATGAAATTGGATTTCTGACTTACCACAAAACTGATGGTTATCATGATGATCGTTTCATCTCATTTTGGTTTCTTAAATTAATGTCCAAGGCTACAAAGTGAAGCATTTTCGCAAACACGACGGAAGGCAAAGACAACGGTAATGCGAGCGAAAATTAATCAATCTGCGCATGCGCAAACCAGAATTGTCTACGTCTTGTTGATTTTCATGACCGTTCTCGGCCATAATACTAATAGCGTTCGTTCCCTAAACACGACGGAAGAGCTCTATCACCGTGCAATCATGATATAGATATCGTATGATATGGAAGTAAGAAACCATACATAAATTGTGCTTCGATCCAATTTATTGATACTGATATAAACCAATCCGATAATAATTACATTTTTCACGAGTAATGATCCAAATGTGACATCAAGTTTTTCAGGAATGAATTGATTGTAGATTTAAAATTCTAATAAAGTGTACCAATAGAACTTTCTTATCTTAGTACAAGCCTAAATGTTATTCCCATAAAACTTGGTGCAAATGTGCCGATCAGAATATATACACACATACATTGAGAAAAAAAAAGGAATAGGAAAGATTTTCTTAAAGACCTGCACATATTGGGCAACCTCTAGATGATTGTTGACCTTGCCAAAGTACTCAAGTGGGTCAAGGTTCACAAGATGCTGTAAGAGGTGACCTGACCATTTGCTACAGGATTTATTATGCCAAAGATTTAAGATTAGCGTAACGGTTACAATCGGGATTCACTGGAGCAGTTATCATACAGCCACCATAGGAAATATCACCTAATTGACGAAACCATTAAAAACGATAAAAGCATTTGCTAATCATCTATAAGAAATTAAATTTAATAATAACAAATTTATTCTACACATTCACAAATACTAAAAAAAAAGCTCATCTATTGTTAAAATATACACAGTACGGGTAATAATATTTTTTTAAAGAATTAATTATTCCTTAATTGCAATCAAAACTTGGGATAAAATTTCAGATACAAATAAAATCACAAACAGATAGATAACAATGGTAGAAATGATGTACAAAAAGTTTTTTTTAAAACGGTATAATCTGATACATTAATATACAAACAACAATGTGCTACAGTCATTTATTACATATTATCAAATAATTTAATGTTAGCTCATGAGTTAGACATTTCATAATAATTATATTTAACATCTGAAGTAATTAGGGTAGGTTTGTCTATAAATTGAGGAGTTTGTAATGAAATTGGTAATAATAATAGATTCAGAATGGAGTTGTGAGTGATGGTAATGTGTATCTTCTGTTGAGAGACAGAAGGGCGTTACACATAGACCCAACACCGTAGCAGTGGCGTATTAAATGAGCACAAAGTTCTTTGTTGTTGAGGGGGGGGGGGGCTCTCAACAAACGATATGTCATATAAATCGTATTGAAATCAATTTAAGAAATTAAAATATTGACATGAGTATAAATTCGGATCTGGTATACAAACAATAATTTTTAAAGACAGTGAAAACTTTAGTAAATATTTGATAGCAGCAATCTACATATACATCCTTTACATTCCACAACGTAGTCTAAACATGCACGGTATTACATTTCCACTACCTAGTAGTTATAGGCATTATTATGAAAAATGTAAACGTGCTTGTTAAGACATTTAAGCTCCAAATAAAAAAATGCTTGACAACTCTTATATTGTTAAAATATGTATATATTTACAATCTTTACCATTCGTACAGTATTCTGTGTACTGTTATGCCTCCTTTATTACATGAAGTAGTTGTACAAATTCTCCAAATTCGAAAAGGCTATCAAACACCTCTTCAGTTGTTGAAACATTCAGAATTCATGAGTTATAGTTTATTTGACATCCCAACAAAAAGACAGAAATGTAAATTTGACAAGATACAGAGAATGAATAATATATGTACAGTTTAATAACTAAGTGTGTGAAAATTGATTTGTCCTAAATATCCTAATTTATGTTACTTGAGAATATGACATATGAAAGCTTACATCTATAAGCATTCAACAAAGGCCCTAATTCAACTAGTCCAGTTCTATTCTTGATTTGCAATAAAAATATTTATATAAAAAAATAATTATGTACAGTTACAAATTGCAGCAGCTTTAATTGTTTACATTTTTCAGAATCCATATGACATTCTAAATGTGTACATTTAACATACATCATTTCATAAAGAATATAGATCCTCATTTTTTCTTCTAAAGTTTGGTAGGTATGTGAAATGTAGCACTATGCCTCCATTAAGAAGTCCTCGTAAGCATTATTGTGACATTTCTGCTATTTTTTAAATCAGTTTTCTTCTTGCATTCATCAGAAGTAAATCGCAAGAATGATCAGAAAGCCCAAATCGGACAATAGAAACAGAAGCTAATGGAAAAGAGCGTGCACAAAAATACCAAGCTAAGACTGGTGCCGGGAATCATAAGAAAGTAGAGGTAATTAATGCCAGCCGTTCAATGGAAATGGGCAGCAGCAAAGAAAAATAAACAAAAAAGTCACATCGCAAGTGCAACTTTCCTTGTTTTCTGGTCTGATTCAAGCTGAAGTAGGGGGTATCACCTTGATAGAATCATCTGATGTACTGCAAATGTTGATGTTATGGGTTACGTAAGGGACAAAATACCTTGGACTTCAATACATATAAAGGACAAGGGAACTGCAAATGTGGATTGTAGAGGCACACATATTGACTGTTACACATGTAGTACGTTCTCAGCTCTTTGCTGGTAAGCAAATGTGTCGATATTGTTATGGAGGTTCTTAATGTCTGTTGGATGACAATTAGTTTGCCTTGTTGTAAATGGTAACGGTCGGGTTAAACAGGAATAACACTATTGATCACCCTGTTGGCTCTCATGCTCTTTTCAAACTGGGCCCAGAAGAGTTCCTGGCCATCTTCATCCTCTGTCCACAGCATGTAGGGTTTGTTCTTACTCATGAACAACCGGACCAGGTACGGAAGATCATCATCCTGGATGTCCTCAAGGAAAATCAGTATGACCTTGTCCAGTCTGGTGTCATTGAGGTGTTCTAGGGCTATACGTAGCTTGGTCAGAAACCAGGCTTCATCCACAGAGTTGTTGCTTATTAAGAGGACAGTCTTGAAGCTGTTCTCAACGACGTAGTGGAGAGCTGGGATGTAGAACATCTCGATGTTGAGGTTGTCATCGCCAAAGGCCACTTTCTGGAGATGTGGAAACCTCTCCTGCAGAACTGGCTTCATGATCTGGTCCACCCATTCCTGGTCATCCTCATCGTACATCAGGTTGAGCTGGTACTCGTAGTCCTGGGCATCAAAGTCTTGGTTGATTTCCTCGTAGCCAAATATGGCTAGTTTTAGGAGGAAGAGCTTGTAGTTGAGCCACCAACGTTTCCGATATGCCACCAAGCACAGGATGGCTACTAGAACAGCAGAGAGGGACACACCTGTGGTGATGAGGATATTAATGCCACAGTATTGATCAGGATGGAATGAAAGGATTGGCGATTGCACCATGTCTTTGATGGAAGAGAGTGAGCAAAGTGTGTCATCAGGATGGATGAGTTCGACATTGCCTGAACGTAGCCACCCCACAAACCAACTCAAGTCGCATGTACAGGAGAAAGGGTTCCCTGATGCGTGTAATCTCATCGTCTTGTTTGTAGGAAACACTATTCCAGGTTCTATCGTGATGATTCTGTTGCGTTCCATGTATAGGTGGTGCAGAGATATGGTTCTATTGAATAGAGTCTTAGGAATCGAATCAAGTCTGTTATTGGTTATGTAGAGGAATCCAAGCCTGGACTGACTTTGAAATAAGTCTCCAGGAAGTGCTGAGATCTCATTGTCATAAAGATCCAATTTTGTGAGAGAAGTCAGACTGTCAAATACACTGGGAATTAGGACTTTAATAGATGACTGAGAGAGGAGCAGTATTTCGAGACGCTTCAGGGGGTTGAAAGTTCCTGGTGCTAACATATCTAGGTGATTTCCTTTTAAGTCCAGTCTGACCAACGATCGAAGTCCCCAAAAGGATGATTTAGAGGTCATATTATTAAATAAATCTGTGCTCGTCAATCGGTTTTCACGCATAACCAGTTTGACAAGAGATGTAGCATTTGTAAATTGGGGTTTGGCTTGAATTGCCAACCCTGAAAATGATAGATCCAATATGCAAAGAACATCCATGTTGCGAAAAGCTCCGTTCATGACTTGGTGAGGTTCATTGGTGAGGTAAAGCTCTTTGAGGTTCTTTAGATTCATGAAGGCATTTGCAGAATACCCACCTTGAATATCATTGTGAGACATGTTTAGTATTTTGAGATTAGGGAAACCCCAAAGAAGATACCTCTTGATCTTTGTGAATTTGTTGAAAGAAAGATCCAGATATTCTAGGGAAGGAAATATTATGGTGGTGCCTTTCTCGATGTCAATGATATTGTTACGAGCTAGGTCTAGGTGATTTATAGAGGACAGATTAGATAATATACCAATGGACAAGCTTGCAATTTTATTTCCAACAAGCATCAATCGCTGTAACATTTTATTGCAGGAGAACATGTCTAAGGGTAAGGCTAGTAAGCGATTATATGATAGATCTAATT